GAAATAAATGCAGATTTCTTAGAGGCGCTTTCAGAATATATACATCTTTGAGTTATACTTGTCAAGAACTTGAGGATTGAATGTCCAGTGTAATGCAGATGTGCAGCTATTTTATAACACTGTTTCCTTACTAGTCTTGACAAAGATCACTATAACTGCTGGAGGCTTTAGGTTAGAAAATGTTTACATTTCAGCTCCATATCAGACCCTTTTGAACTAAAATTAAGAAGAGATAGGTTCTTAATAATTTTATGTTTCTCTTGATGTCACTCAGTTCTTGTTGCAAGAAATAGAAATCTGTTAAACAGAAAAATAATTTATTAAAGACACAGAGTAGGTCACAGAGTTTGTGTGGAAACTGGAAAACCAGACTAAGTAAAAGGTTATGTATGCAGCTGCAAAAAATGCTCAGAATTACCTTCCAAGATTTCTAGCATTAATGCCTTGATGCTGGACACTGGCAGACAGGTAACACTGCTGATTTCGCCAGAAGTAGATGTTGCTGCCTCCAAAAATTAGACACAGCTTTCAGTTTATATCATTAGTGGAGCTATGGTCTTGTCCTAACCTGCAAGGGAGGTAGGAAAAGTGTCTGTCATTTCCTGTTTCCATAAAGAAAGTAGCCCTGCCTCAAAACAGAGGACTGCACAGGCAGTTCTGAGGGGCAGGAAAATAGAGTGTGCGGTAGATAGCATGCACTCACATCTTTGCCTCCCTCCAGGATTTTCTGTTGCAATTGGCTTTGGAAAATCTGATCTGTGCCAGTCAAAAATTTCTTCTGTTATGAACTCTGTATATGCTAATATGTTTCACATTTTCTACATAGATGATCTCAAATGTAAACAATCATGAATGCTGGTTTGTAGCGCTTAAAGATTTCTTTTAGAATTTCCATAGTCCACTGTCTACTTCATTCTTCAGATTTGCCTTTTTCATATTTATTATATCAGTAGTGTCAGTAATTTTGTAGTGGTACTGTTCTACTTTTTTTCACTATACACTTTTTCAGAGCAGCTACATCTTAGTTTTTAGCTAAGCTGTAGTGGGCTTTGCTATTTATGTTAATGATGAACAAATGCATCTAATTTCCAAGTAAATATGCTCAGTTCTCAAAGATTTCCTTACATAAAATGGATTTAAGTTTATGTAACTCCCACGATATCTGTTAGTTTGGTGACTTTTTGGTACATTTTCTATCTTACATATCAAGTATTTTGTGATCATTGATTATTAACTCACTAAAATCTTTTTATTGTTCAGCTATATTGGGAAAAGTATACTTTGTTTTGACTCATTTTTATTCTAAGTATTTTTACCGTGTGGTTATTTATACACAAGCAGTGATACTAGTGGTTAGTAGGAATCATGTTCTCACACATCTCAGTACTACGCTTTAGTATGCAAAAGCTTGTGAGGCATTTCAGAGGGATAAAGGATTTCCCATCTCTATCTGTTCACCGTGTGAGCTGTTCTAGTGACAAATGAATTCTGGGCAGTGAATCGAGAAGGACACAGATGTCAAAGCCATGAATTTATAAATGGTCTGTTAAGAGGGTGCTTTTGTCCAATCAGCATTTTGTTAATTTCACCTACAAGCCGGAATAATTATTCAATTATAGTTTCTATCTGACAAAAATCTAATGACAAATGTGTCAGAATCTGAAGATAAAAGGTTAGTCAGAATTTTGGCCGGAGGCCCAAAATTTAGGCAGCCTTGTGGAGGTGGATATAAACCCAAATTGACCTAATAACACTGATTACAAATTCTTTATGAATATTCATAGATCTTACCGAGACACAAAAATAATTTTGTTTTTAAGCTCTAAAGTAGATAAGTATTGTTATTTTTGTATCTTTATGAATATAATTAGCTTTAAAATGTACCTTGACAATAGAAGTAGTAAAATCCTGTTCCTTTTTAATTTGTTTTGCCTTATTGCCAGTATAGTTTCAAACTGTTTTGTAATTTTCAGAACGTAATGTGAAAAGGTTATCTTTATTAGTGATATGACTGATATATCACATTGTTTGATGTAGAACCAGATATCAGCACACTTTTTGTATAAAAGGCCCAATAGTAAATATTTTCAATTCCATGGTCTTACAGTCTCTGTCCCAGCTATGCAGCTCTGCTGCTGTAGCACAGCCACAGATACTATGTAAACAAGTAAGTGTGGCTGTATGCTAATCAAACTTATTTACAAAAACAGCCAGCAAACTGGATTTGACCTATGGGCCAGAGTTTTCCAAACCTGGTAGAGACGGATTAAATTTCCACTAATATTTTTAATAGTATTCTAAAGTAGAAAAACTTTATGAACTATGTGAAATAACTTAATTGTGAGTTCCTTGGCAGGATATTGGGTTCTCAGAAATTATACCATGAATGGCACTCACTGAAGTTTGGTCATCAACCATGTCAATCATGTCAACCATTTCTTTCTCATCTCTATCAAGGGTTCTCAGAAATTATACCATGAATGGCACTCACTGAAGTAGGTCAGTTTGGTCATGTCAACCATGTGAATCATGTCAACTATTTTTTTCTCATCTCTATCAAGGGTATCTTACCTGGCCTACTTCCTGTTTGTAAATAAAGTTTTATTGGAACACAGTCATGCTCATTTGTTTACATATAATGTATGACACCAACAGCAGCAGAAAACGGTATTTTCAACAGAAAACATATGGCCTACAAAACCTAAAGTAGTAACTTTACAAAAAACATTTGCTAACCCTTACTATATTCCTCTTTAAGTGTGAAATTTCAGGGTACCCTGTGGGAATGCCTCTATGTCATATTAGGGTCAAGAAAGGATTTATCAAGAAGTTAGCCACATATCTGATTGCTTCAGGATTCTTTTTCTTCTACAGTGTTTTTCATCTTATGGATCCTGCCAAGGAAACTAAACATACTTCCTGTAGTTGCTTCTGCTAGATATTTTTTTCTGGGTATCTCAAAGTTAGGTTTCAAAGGATTTGCTTTGATGCCAGCAGCTCAGCTCCTGCATTGGGGTTTATGAAGGATATATGAGTGCTGTAAGTTACTGAGTGATAAAATTTCCAGGACTGTGAATAAAAATAAAGTGGGAAGAGAGGTTAATTTCTGTTTAAATCTGAAGGCTACTTAATGGTCACCTGGTAATTTCTGCATTTCATTGATACATTTATATTTGCTCTCTGTTGATACAGGAACATATGATTTAATTTACTGTATTCCATGAATTTCCTAAAAGTTGCTATTTGATATATTCAAAAGAAACATTAATTTTATTTGTTAGTCACAAAAAATAAACAGTATTTTTAAAAAGTTTTGTATCATAAGGACCTTTACTTTTGGGGTGGGGGAATGTATCTCAGTGGTAGAGCACTTGCCTAGCATGCTTGAGACCCTTGCACTACCAAAGAGCAAACACATTTTTAAAAAAATTGTTGGCAGTTTCTTCATAAATCACTTTTTCCATAACTCACCAACACTTCGTGGTTTTCTTTCCTCTTCCAGCTGCTCAGCCTCCTTCCCCCTTGTATATACCTTGTAAATTCTCATGGTCACTGCATATTCTCCCTAGGGCTCCTGAGCGCCATTACTTTCACTTCCATTTGCATGCTCATGGTCTCCAAAGTTACAGCTCTGGCCCAGATAATTTCTTTTGGGTTTCAGACTTGTGCTGCAAGCAGGAAACTTCCGTATTTCTCTTGAATCTGCCCATGTTTTTCTTTACTAGCGTGTTTAATAGGACCAATTGCTAATAGGTCCAGCTGTTAAAGCTTGACACTTGTCCTAGCTCTTCCTGGCCTCCACAGCCAACCTGGCTCACAGTTCTGTGAGTTCTTCCTCCTGGGTGTCCTTGAATAATACATCTCTTTTCCAGTCCCGTAGCCAACAGCCTAATTCTGATCACCTGGACTGTTTGTTAATTTGTTTCCATTTTAGTCTTGTATCTTTCCAGTCATTTTTAACATTGCAGGCCGAATGGTTTTTCTAAAACTACAGTCAGATTGTGTTGCTACCCTATGTAAATTATTTGAATAAAGTCTAATTTTTAATACTTACTGTGGTGCCTTTGTAGCTTTATATGTCACTGCTTATCTCTGATTGGCTCCGGGCATCAATTAATTATGAACCTGGATGCACACTGCTCATTCTTCCTAAAACATGCTTTCCTCCCCACTCCTACTGGTGATTCAGTTTTTACTTTACATATAGCCCTGTTCCCTGGCTTCCACCCAGTTCGAAATCACTGATTTTGCTTTGAGTTTCCATAGTACCTTGTAGTACCTTGTGCTGGCTGTTTCTTATTATTCATCATCTGAGTTTCCTGAGGGTAGGGATATGTATCCAGACTTTAAATTAGACTGACACATATGCTGGCATGTTCTTAATGTTCATAAATATTTTCTTTTATATTGAGTAAGAGAGGGTAATATGAACTGGTCCTCCACAAAACTATAAAATTAAATTTTATTACATATTGTACATGCTATATATCTGATTGGTTCTTTCCGAATTTTTTTTGGTATATACGAAGTAAAGATTTAGTGAATTTAAAGTCAGCATGTTTTAAGGTTTAATATTAATAAATTTATGTTCTGGGTGATTTAATTTTATCATCCTGTTTTAATAATTTTAATGAGTCCATAATTGGAATCCCATTTAACTTTTACCCTCATAATGTTTTTTTTTTGTTTGTTTTTCTTCCGGTATCAGGAATCAAACTCACAACCTTGCACTTTTCAGGCAGGCGCTGTGCCACTGAGCTAAATCTTCACCCCCATAGTGGGTATTTTTTAAAGAGGCTGTAAAAGGGAACTGAGTTATTTTCCCTGACCTATATACCTTCATTAATTTTCCTTTGATAGTAATCCATACCGATGGGTTTGGAGGTATATCTATCTCTATAGAGAGAGAGAGAGATAGATATATTTTTTTGCTTTTTAAAAATTATATTCTTTCATTAAAGGCGATGGTACTACATAGTTAGGCATTTTGTTGTTTACAGTCTACCCTGACATTTGCACTATCAGCCTTGTAGCAGTGAGTGATGTGAATAAACATGCTGATAGAATTGCTTTCTGGGACGATGTCTATGGCTTCAACATGTCCTGCATGAAGAAAGCAGTTATTCCAGAAGCAGTTGTGGAAGTTGTAGATCCAGAGACTCTTATTTCAGACCCCTGTAGTATTAAGGTAAGTGTTTTGCCAATTTTTGTTTTTTAATGAAAGCATTGCCCTTTTTCTTAGTTCATTATTTGAGGTTATTGTAGTCACACCTCTCTGTCTGGTGGCCCCCCCAGACAGGTTGGTTCTAGGAGCCTTATGGTTACCAAAACCCAGTACTATTCAGGTTCTTAAGGTTATTACAATGTAAATGCTGTGAAAATAGTTACAGTACTTCGTTGTTTAGAGAATAATAGGAAAAGCAAAATTTGTATATGTTCTGTACAGACGCAACTTCTTTCAAATAGAATTTTGAATTCACAGTGGACTAGCCTGAGGATGCAGGACTGTGGAAACAGAGGACTGACTTTATTTTATATGTGGACCTTGAAAACAGTGCCCTTCCAGCTTTAGTCAGAATAAAATAACTCAAAGTCGTATTTACCACCAGATCCTCATCTGTTTGGAATTCTATTTATGCTTTTAAACTTGTTTTACTCAGTTTTATAATCCTCCAAGTCTAGCTCTGAACTGGTTGAATAATTTGCTTTTACTTTGGCTAAGACAAAAAGTCCTGCTGTATTGTCACCTCTGCTTCACCACCAGTTGGCTTTATTACAGCTTCCCTCAGCAAATTATTCATTTATTTCGTATTTCACAATTGAATTTCAAGAAGGGCAAGCTAATTCTTCAGATTTCTTCTAGCCTTTTAAAATTAAATAATTATAATGAATTTTGCCCCGGAAATATAAGCCCTATTGTGCTGAATTTTTAAATTAATTTTTAAGTTAAATGTTTTATTATTTTTTTCCATTTTAAACAAGTTTTTCTTGCATTTTTGTTTATTTTATATGGGCTCACTAATAATTTTGCAGTGAAAAATTGTATTGCTTTTCTTAAAGGTCAGTTAGTTTCAACTGTATAACTAAGTGTATATAGTTCTGTTCAGTGTTAGACTATTGTCTTCTCTCTAGCCATACTGTTAATTTCATAGCGTTAATAATTAGCCTTTGCACAAAATAGTGTTTAAACACTGAACAGTTTACCCTGAGCCTCACTTGGGCAGCACATTTATGTGCTGACTATCCTCAGCATCACTTGGGTAGGTATCATTTCAGCCAGTCAATTCTTGTATTGAATAAATTTGATAAAATTGTTTTTAATATTTCCTTTTATCTTATAAAAATAAAATATATAGAATTTTTAGTCATCTTGTATTTAAATAATTGGACTGGTATATGGTTAACATAGAATAATAAGTAAGAACTTTTTCAGGAAGGGCAAATTAATTAGAAGTGCATTCAGTTCTTAAGAAGTGAAACAAAAACACAGCCTGGTTGATGATTATAGGACAGTTCGGTGCTCTGGTCCACTGACAGTAGGGGATTTATGTGGCTCTTTGGCTCAGGGTAATCGTGCACAGATGTAGTCAACTCAGCCTTAAGGTGGAGCAGAAAGAGAAGAACTGGGGAGGTTAGTGCTAATTGCGCTCTCTCGTGATCTCTGCTTAATTCCAAAATTGTTACAAATACATAGCTGGAATAGAGAACTTAAGACTGAAAAACAAGGTATTTAATAAATATACATACTTTTTTTAAAAAAATCATTTACTTAAGTAAATATCACTTGTTCTGTGTTCCCCAGGCTTCCTACAAATCAAAGGTAACCACACTGTAATTTTAAATTTTTTCTCAAATTGTTTTCCATAAAATAATGCCTCAGGTATGTACTCTATGACTTGCATTCATAGGGTTACATTGTACTCACTCAGCCAATGCAGCCTTTAGAGCACCCTCTGCTCAGACTACAATTGCTAAAAGGGGATTTCTTCCCTACCCAAAGTGAAAAATTGAACCAGAGCAGGAACTGAAAATAAACATATTTGGAGATAATTGTTTTTTTCTTTTGTAGGACTAGAGTTTGAACCCAGGGTCTTTGCACTGAGCTACATCCCTAGTCCTAGTTTTCTGTTTGGTTTGAATTGTTTTTCTCCTAAGATCTAACAAACGTATCTTTTAAGTGCATCAGAAATGAATTATAAAACAGTATTTCCTCTCATTGGTATGTGTTTCAGCTTGCCATTTACTCTGCAAGTGTTTATTGATAGTTTACTGTTATCATACATAGTTTCTAGTAGAGGTACCACAGGTAGCATGCAAAATGATTTTAGATAATGCATAGAAAAATATTTCTATTACATATGTCTCTGGAAAACTAGCAGATCAGAACCATGACTTAATATACATTATTACTTACTGCTTACAACAGCTCTTAAGTTAAAAGATACTAATGTGAATTGAAGAAAAATTAGATGATAAAGCTCTAATATGCCTTAAATTTGGAAATAATCCCCAAAATGGTGTGTAAATGATAAATCCCCAAAAGGCTGTGTAAATGATGAAATTCTATGAAAAGAGCACAGAGTATTATTTATATTTTTAAAAACGTTTTGCTAATGTCTTCCTTTCTCTCCTTTTTAATGGACAGCATATAGATTCCCATACAACATCTATCTCAGATTTGGAGTTTTCTTCAGATTTTTCCCTGAAAATCACAAAGACAACCTTCTGCACGGTGAGCTATTCATTTTTCCCTTCACAAATTTCACTAGAAGTATAGTTGATTGACAAACTAATGAATTAATTACCAGGCTTGTGATAAATGAAAACAGCTATTGCCTTTGACAGTCTATTTTTGCCTTTGCTTGGCCATTAAACAAATCTATTTTAAGAAGTGAGTAGACTTCAAAAAAGTTACTTTGGTTGAGGAAGTATTAAGAAACCATGTTAACATAATTTTTCTTTATATATTTGTCATTATTGCCTATCTTATAATTAATCAAGAGCATTCTAGTTTATCTTCAGAGACAAAAGTTCATATCCTGTTCCTTCCAATAATTCTTAACACTTAATTTACATATATTTGGTAGTACTATTTTATATTCATGTATGAAAAATAATTCCTGATTTATCTTTCTTTAAGGAATGAGCCTGATGTGATCAAAAAGGTGTGGGTCTTTTAAACAAGTTAGATCTACGTTTACATTTGGTTCTTCCATTTACTTTTTTTTTTTTTTTTTTTTTGGTTTTTCTCCGGTACCAGGAACCGAACCACGACCTTGCGCTTGCCAGGCAGGCGCTTTTGCCGCTGAGCTAAATCCCCAGCCCCTCTTCCATTTACTTGTTTCTTTGTTCAAGTTACCTGGGTTCTGTAATGTATAATTCAGACTGTTCAACTACTTTAACAAAAATGGCAATAATTCTATTTGATTAGTTACAGAATTAACTTAGTGAGATGGCTTAGTGAGATATTTAAAGGTATTTACAGGGAAGTCAGAAATACTTTTTTATAATTTTTTATAATCTCTTTTTTCTTCCACTAAGTAATTTCTAAATGTTGAGTAATTTTAAGATAATCTTTACCAGGAGACCCAGAATGTTGATAAAATGTGGGCTTCACTGAAGAAGGAATATATATAGGTAGTAGTGATGTGAATATTTATGTAGGGTGTTAATTATGGGTTTTAAAATTCTGATCCATCCTTAGAAGTTGGAATTTGAATTGAAAATTACATTGTTAGAAACTGTACATAAAAATGATTGATCATGGTAATGTTGATTCTTTAACCTGATGATTTTAAATATTCAGATTTATATGTAAAAGATGTTTTGGTTTCTTTAAAACTGTTTCAGTTAATTTTGATCCATTAATTATTATATATCCCATGATTTTAACACACAAAGTGCTTTGATAATTTTACTGATTTTCTTCTTATTGAAGCTGGTTTATAATTCTAAAAAATAAAGTCTAGATTTGTGACTTTGGGATATCCATGATGTTCATTTAGCTAATTAATGAAAAGCAAAGTTTTATTTTCCCTGTTCATTTTGGCTTAAAGTCCTATACTTTCTCCACTTTTTGATATTGTTACCTTTGAAAGTTAAAAAAATCATCATGAAAATTGATCATTCTATAAGTGAATTCTTGCAAATTATTTTTCCTGTCACCAGTATTATTAAGTAATAGTTCTAATGTGTTTTCAGTGATGTTATGGTTTGTGTTTAGATGTCCCCCCAAAGCCTCATGCAGTCATAGGTGGGCTTTTTCAGATGTGGCTGAATCTAGAGTGTGTGATGCTGGGGTTAAGGGTGTGCAGTTATCACTAAATGAGTTCACTGATTAGTTTGGCACCAGCCTAATCCCGTTAGCTAGGATACAATATAAGGGAAAGAGGCTTGTCTTCTTCCCTTGTTGCTTTTGCTAATATAAGGGAAAGAGGCTTGTCTTCTTCCCTTGTTGCTTTTGCTAACTTGTGAGTGCCATGAACTGTTCTCTGTGACATCCTTCTGCCATGTGCCACTCTGCCTTGGAGCTAGCCAACAAACTGTGAGCGTCATAACCTTTCTCGCTTTAACTTCGGATGTCAGGTGTTTTGTTTCATCAGTGAGAGAAAAGTAACTAAGACAAATGACCTCTTCACATAAAGTAGCACTGGTATAACACTGGTGAAGATTATTTAAAGCTATACAATGGACCTTGTCTTATGAACTCAATTTGTTCACAAGGGCAGTTTTTGTAGTTCAAGTTGGTTGAGTCAAGACTATTTTTCCCATAAGAAATAATGGAAATATCCATAATGCATTGCAAACCTCCAAAAGCACCTCTTAACTGACCTTTTCACAATAATAAAGGGTTGTATAATGCATGTAACTTATTAGAAACACCAATAATTTTCCTAGTTTGTTCACCAAAAAGTTATAAATGTGTGTAGTTCACCAGAAACAATAGTTTCACACTGTACTCGCCACTCAAGAGGACGGCTCTGGCTTGCAGGAAGGGCAGATGAAGAGGAGGTGGTCACTGTTTGGAGGGAGAGTCCCCTTCGACAGGAATATCGGGACTCTGGCTCTCTGGCATCCTTTCCTCGGGAGTCTGTAGCCCACTAGGGTCTGCTTCTGGCTCCCTAGGTCTCAGCCTTTTCAAAACTGAAAACTGGTCTGAGGTTTTCTGTTTCTGTCTTTTCTTTAACACTGTTCTGTGGTATGCCGTCAACATTGTCATTAAGCACGTTAAAGCAGGCGTTTTCTCTGTCTGGATGGGTCTTCTCTGCAAATGTTTGTAGCTGTCTGTTTTTCAGGATTTCCTTTATTGCAGAAGAACGTTGCTGCACTGATTATTATCCTCGCCCTCCTCTCCAGAAAGCTCCTCAGCTGCCGTTCTCTGTGGCTCAGCCAGAAGTTGCTGAAGTTCCTCCGTAGACAGCTCCGCTGTGTTCCCGCCCCAGTTCCTCAGCATCACCACTGTCTACATGCGGCCTATGGACTGCTGTAGCAACAGTGCCATCAACCACGGGGTCACCTGAAGGCTCGGGCTCCTCTACACAGCCTTTAAAGTGTCTCTCCTGTGTAATTTTAGGCCACAGTTTGTTGCAGGCAGATCTAGTGTCCTTAGACATTGGCCCAGGATTTCTCAGTGAACCCCACACAGGAAAGGATGTTGTCATGTTCTTCCAGCAGTCGTTAAGGGTTGAGTCTGTATCTGAGACCATCTGGAAGCACTTCAGAAACAGTTCCCTGTGTACAGCTTCTTAAAGTTAGCTGTAACCTGCTGGCTCATAGGCTGCAGTGCAGGAGTTGTATCAGGTGGGAGGAACTCGACTGAGAGCCATGGGAATTCTTCAGCCAGTTCTTCCAAATCTGATGGGTGAGCAGCAGCATTGCCCACGACGAGGAGAGCCTTGAATGGTAAACCTTTATCCTCTAGATATTTCTTAACAGTGAGACAGAAAGCCTCCCTGATCCATTCAAGAAAAAGTACTCTTGTTACCGAAACTTTCGCATTAGATCTCCACATGATGCCTGGACCTATCCTTCATGACTATGTTTTCTCAACACTCTGGGCTCTCAGAGTGATAGACCAAGAGTGGTCACCACTCACATCGGCACATATTAGTAAGGTTAGTCTGTCCTGCATAGGCTTGTGGCCTGGCATTTTCTTCTCTTCCTGGGTAGTGTATGTTCTCCTGGGCATTTTTCTTCCAGAAAAGGCCAGTTTCACCACAGTTGAAAACTTGATAAAAGCAAAAGTCATTTCTCTATATTGTCATATTGAAGTGGTGTTCGTAATTTTCAGCAGACCTTTTATCAGCACTGGCTGCTTCACCATGCCTAGACATGCTATGAACCCCCGTTCTCACTTTAAAATTGTGAAACCACCCCTTACTGGCATGAAATGTTTCACCATTGTCACTTGTTGACAGATTATCCTTTACGAGATCTGACTTTATACCCCTAGCTTTTTCACAAATTATAGACTCAGGTTACAACCTGCTATCTGCTTTTTGTTTATCCACACTAATAATAGTAGCCTTTCTACCTCATCTAACACTATTGATTGTGAGTTACTAATTGGAGTAACACCTTTAGCAACACTAGCTCTGCTTCTCTGTAAGACAGTCGATATGATGGATTTTGACATGCTGTACATATTAGTGAGATTGGTCACAAAGATGCCACTCTTGTATTTCTCCACCCTTTCCTTCTGGGTTGTGATTGCTTTCTTTACTTTCTCTTCCTTCCTTAGTTTTTCTAGCTTTTTGGGGGGCCATTTTGATAGCAGTTATCGTAGCAATTATGTAAAGCACTGATTGAAATCATGTCTGTAGACACATGCGTCTGGGCTCAGACTGATGCTTAATGTGTGTTTACATAGTCTTTTCTGCCATCATGTATCTTTGTTTACAACTGCACAAGCAGACAGCATTCAAGTCATAACTCAAGGCTTTGAGCATAAGTTAAACCTAAACTTCTGTTCATAACTCAGGTTGTTCTGTGAGGCCGATTATAACTCATGGGTCTGCTGTATTTTTTTTTTTTTTTTTTTGAAATTTTATGTATTTTCCAACTTGGGAAAGTATTGACTTTCATTGAAATGTTCTGTGGTTTTTGATTTATTGGTCGGAGTTCTTAGTTTCAGACATCAGAATCTAGGTCAACTTACTTAAATTAGGAGGGATTTATTCAAGAGAATAAGATAATTCTTAGACATATGGGGAGGTCTAAAGGAACAGACAATGTTCTGAATTTCTAGAAACAACTAGAACCCCTCCTGCCAAAGCTGTCTCTTCTGTGGAAAGCATGATGGTTCTCTCACCAGAGGCCCACATGGCTCTGATGCCCCTGGCTCACTCCACAAGTGTCAGTCACAGCTGCCAACCCCAAATGTATAAACCCCTGCTGTACCACCCCATTTCCTACCCTCTGCTCCCCATGGCATCTTACCTAACTCCTCCTTTGACTTAGCACATCTGCTTGGCTGAATACCGGTCACGTGACCAGCATCCTATTAGTAAATTTTGGAAAGTAGTTTTAGCTAGGGCAGTTTTATGCTATAGAGTTTCATGTCACATATGTAGCATCATTTTCTTTTTTTATTTGTGATGAAGTACAAGAATGTTAGTGTTAAAAGAAGCTATCCTTCTTAGATATAAAGCTTAGTTTTATTCTGAAGTTTATTTAATTCAAAGGTTGTAACCAAAATTTTGGTATTGAAAAATAGTGTATAAGGGTACTTTA